CCCTTGCGTAACCCGCAACCGATTTAGGACCATATTATATTATTTACGCATTTGCATTCAGGACTCATTCACTTTCCAATGTTATATCGATGGATTTGAATAATAATGTATCATTATATTATTACTATATATGACAATTCATCGATTAAATAGCATAATATATATATTTATTTTTTAACAAAAATATATTTCTTATTCTATCATACATTCATACTGCAGTACAGAGAATGGCTTTCCGAAAATCGTTGAATTATTAAAATATAATATTTATCTTTGAGAAGGTTAAATCTATTTAAAGCCAATATTGTTATACAATAGTTCAGACGAGTATAATACATCGGTGTAAAAACGAATTTATCAAGTATAAAGCTAGTGTATGAATATTGTTGTTATATATGGTAATATGATATTGCATACTTAAAAAAAACGCATTATTAATTTAGACACGTATTATGCGCGTATTTCGACATTTCGTGCGTTTCAAAAACTACAATCTCGAAATTCGAATCTCCGATAATTTTGGCTAGGCTTGTTTACCTCGAGATTTACATTTTTTTTCTCCTGCTAGCATAATACATTATTATATTAGGCTCTACGCGCTGCTAGTTGCCGAGGGACTACGGTATTTAAAAAAATATATATTATAGTCCATTATGATAAAATCAGATATACATGTTATAATAGGTCTACTGTAAAACCTACTGTCAAGCAGGACGAACCGTGCAAATAAAATAATAACAATTCAGGGTTGGAAAAAACCAGTGGTCTAGGGGGCGAAGGAGTTTTGAGCACCTATGTATTATTACTTCATTAGCATTACTTCAAATATAATATAATGTGCAAATAATATGGGTCAATTGCCTGCGCTGCATAGGTGGTATATGCTTGTTTATAACAACGGCGTTATGGTTTGACGTGATAAATTACAAGGTGACGCGCTAAGACAAGACAAATATATATATTATAATATGTATAGGTATAAACGCGTCATGTTATCAGACAATAATACAATAATTATGGCCCCGAGGGTACCTATGTCCCATATACTATACTATATTATATAGTTGTTATATATTATAATTTATATTGTAACAACAAGGTACAATCGTCGAGTTTACTCGCTGCCCACCATGGTGTCGTTGCATTGCCATAACGTGTACATGCTGTATAAGTACTATATTATTATAGATTGGAAATAAATTACTCTAGAATGATTTCAGTTGTACGCAACAAGTTACCAAAATCAAAGACAAGTGACAATGATTTATTTTAGGGCACCCATTGTAGATTTTTTGAAAAGTTTAAGGATTCACCTTGTCTCTTCCTCATTTTCAACAAGTCCAAAACACAGGCCTCCGCACGAATACTGCAGTATAGGTAATATACATTAAATTATTGTTATGAAAAAAAACATAAACGTAGGTATTTACTATCATAATAATTAGGTATACCTTTGCTTAACAAGATTGGGTGTAACAAAAAAATACATCCATCAGGAAAAAGGTTTGCGAGAAAATTGCATTTCAGACTCGGGGTTCGATGTAATGTGATACATAATAGTGTTTCGCAAAACCTGAGGTGTGCCAATTTCACCATTCCATATTACACCTAGCCACTCCCAAACACAACCCTCTGGAAATTATATAAGAAGTAAATAATATAGGTAATATTATGTTAAGCCAGAAAATGTTCACGTCGCCTGGCTACAATATATGTGATCTGCGTAAACTTTTAAAACGAACGTGGCCTATTGTAGTTGTTATTAATTATTATTATAATTAGGTATAATAGATTATTGAACGTTTGACGGATGTTTAAAATTGATTATATTGAATAGGTTTATTTTATCACGCAGCGGTTACGGTAAGTGTATAATACGATGCGGACGCGTGTTTGCTCGTTACAGTCACCTCGAGTATTTGGTTCAGGGACCATTGAGTCGAAAAAAAATAATATAACCCATTATACGCAAGGCACCCGTTTCACAAAGAGGCACAGTGTTGGGCGAATCGCATTATTATCATAATATAATAATAAACGATATAAGATAATAATAATATATCCGTCGATCGGAATCGTCAAACAATGTCAATCCATATATATATATGTGAGGTTTATATGTATATCTTTACACAATACATTATAATAATATTATATTCACATCATATATTATTGTGAATGGCTAAAACCGGTGAAAGTTTCAATTGATTCAGATTATTCACCGGACATCGTGTACACATATTATGAGTTTACATATGGCAGTAACGCACGCGGTGCATCTTAAGTAGCATCAAACTAGTAAAGATAATATGCCGATACCGGTGACACAGTAATGAGTATAAAAATTACTCACCACGTATAAAATATAATATTATTACATACAAATAATTCGGCCGTCCACTTGAATTATAGGTACAATATAATATAATATATTATATTATAATATATAGGTCATAACTTCCGATCTTTATGTACGGATGACGCTTAAATAATATGCAAATCACCTGTCATTATATTGTTATAATCACCGCGGGATGACAAATATTCGGTGTCTACAAGCATCGGAGACACATAATATTATACAACTACATCGTATTACACGTCTTATACACGCCTATATTATTACATATTATGCTATATTATATTATTATACCGATTGATGGTGTGACAACGAGAGTGAAATATAGTTGTATACTTGTATATATACGATATACCTAACCAGTAACTGCATCTGTTATACTATCGCAATCGGCGAGTGTGGGCTGCAGCTATCGATCGAGGGTTTTGTTTTTTTCCAAGTCAGCTGCAGTACAACCTACATCGGTCCAAGGAATTCGTTCTGATACGAAACGTATAAGGCATGAAAATGTCCAACTCCACTGCAGCGACTAATTAGACGCACGCAACGTATTACACGCGTTGATCCACGCCAAGGTCTACCCCTCCGTACAAGTGGTTTTGTATCGATTTAATCTTATCAAATCTTGCATTGCACTTGTAAAGAATCTTATATACATGAAGCATACATATTGGCAGCTCTGCGTATTCAAACATGCAAGTTAAAAAATTTCATAGTTTTTGTTAACTTTTTGTTTAACTTCCTGAAAAGCAGTTCGGTACACGCATGATTAAGAGTTACCTTTACTTCAAACCGCTGCCGATAGGTACAATTATACATGCGATAGCATCAATATGTAAACACAGACAAAAGCCGATAGAAGTGTATCAGGTCATCAGAACCGCTGTTTGAGGCATCATTGGAAGTAGTATATGCGGACAGGTGAGCTTGAAAACCATGATAATAGTTAATCGTAAAAAATCCTTTCGAACGACCGGTCTATCTATAATGTCCCGAAATGGATTTTAAAAATGACTTGAATTCAACATAACGTCTACTCTCGAGATTAATATCTATTCTTTGTACTTTAGCTTCTAGTTTCTCAAATTTGACAACAGTGGGAAAAGTTTAAAATATTTTTAATATGATTTTGGTAATTTGGTTTGAATTATATAAAAAGTTTGAATATAAAATCGAATACGTTCAGCAGCCTTTTTGGAGACTTCACGGGGCATTCCAACTAGTTTTTAGAATAATTACATCCGTAGATCGATCAGTAAACGGTGGTAACATAAACTTTATTCCCACGTGGCGTGCGTGTACGATTTAGACAGATACAAATCATCACCGCTAACAATCCCATCTTAAACCATCGCTACTAATACTTTCACACTTTGTTATGAATTATGATCGTCAACTTCAAAATCTATACGTACGACGTTATAAGAATCAACTCAGCCAGTATCAGCAATCATATGCTGCAAAATATTTATTTCCTTACAACTGTCAACGACGTACGTTGATCATTATAATATATATATTTATCGGAATGTACTAAGGCTAGGGCACAGACATACAAGCCGTTAGCTCAATCACTTTGATATCACACAATTAAACGTGACTCCCATGGTATCGGTTACCTATATAAAATATATCGAAAGGTTTTATAACGGGGTGAAGCATGGTTTAGCCGAGGCCATTTATAACACGAATTCGTCGAAGGCACAAATATTGTTCTCCCCCAAACACGTAATATATCAATATAGTTGTAATAGGAGCATGACCAAAACTTGAGGACCGATATCTCTAAGCCGTATTTATTAACCAAAACCGTATTCACTCTCGCGTTTACAAAAAATCAAGTGTATTATATAGGCGTACTCTGTATCCACTGTATATTAAAATATATAGGTAATATGTATTATGTAATACATAATAAGTATACAATGTTCGAAATCTTCGATCGACCCTGCATCAGCATAAGGAAAACCCGCAACAAAAATATAGATTATTACCCTCTTAACATTTTTGCGAGAGTACGATGATTGTGAAAATTGTGATGGCGAAGGAGCGAGATAAGCGGAGACGCGGAAGAAGGATGAGTCGGGAAGTGGATCAATGTGGGTACGGGTAGTGTCTTATACCGACTGCGGTGACCTAACGGCTAACGCCATTTACCCTCGAGCTCTGCAGGTCAGAACACATGTACACTCTGTAGTTACACACTATAATATGTAACCATTTTCCGTTAGATATATGATAGGCAATGACTATAGCATATTTGTATGAAATATTCACCTAATACTTCCAAACACTGAAACTTATTTTTTATTTATTATATTATTCTTATAAATTCCTTGTAACAATAATATTGAGTAGTGGACGGTATTTTACTGAACTGAAGAGGATATAAATAAGATTAAAACCAACTAAAACTTAAGAAAGACCTGATAACTAATCTTTACTTTCAACAGAAAGTAAACTTACATCATATTTGATATCATACCAAATGAGTTTCTTTCAAAAAATAATTTGCTTTATCATATAACTCTGATTATGGGGGAAAGGGGTGCATACGCAATAACCGTTGACCAATAAGGGCCACATTTTTTATCTTGGCTTATTATGCATCAAAATAACTAAATCAGGTCCTGTATGTAACTCACTTTGAAGACTTTGGAACCTTGACGATAGGCAGCGGGTCGGTGGTCCTGAGTGGTTCGGCCGAAATGGCCTGTCGAGTGGGCCGGCCCTTGAACAAGGAGCCCGCGGCGTGGCCGTGATGACCGCCGCCGTTACAGCAACCACTACCGCCACCGCCGGCCAGATCGTCGGCCGACATCTGAATGGCCATAATGTGATGGGTGAGCGGCCGAACCACCTGTCGGAATTTGTCGATCTCGTTGCGCAGGTGACGGACGCTAGCGTCACGCTCGTCGAGCCGGTGCTCCAGCCGGGCGATGTAGTCGTCTTTCTTCCTCGACTCGGACGTCCGGAGGGCCAGCTCGCGCTCCAGGTCCCGCAACCTGTTCATCACGGACGTGCTCATCGCGAGGGTAACACGCGGCTCGGTCGCCACAGACGATGCGATTACTCTATATTATAGTACCGTCGTTCACACGTATATCGCGGCGCGTATTATGTTATGTAGCTGCAGTGTGGTTTCGGACGCGTCGAACCGACTGTCGTACACGCGCGGTGGTGCGCTGTTTCGTTTACGCGTTCCGTGAGTATAATATTATGTGATTTCCCCTCCGCTGTCTCGTTGCACGCAGACTGCCGCAGCAACACAACCGGGTCAAGGATCTGTAAAACGATGATCGATTTCAATTCCGCGCGCGGCGCAAGGTCCTCCGGTCGGAACGCGCCGTGTAAACCGGCCGCGGGAGTTATAGAACATAATAATAATAATAATAATAATAATATGACAAATCTGTGCTGTGTTAAATAACGATATTATCAAAAGCGACTATCGTTATACTCGGGCAATGGTCAGTTGGTGGGTGGGGACTGGGGGTGTCGAAAATCCATGATACGGGCCTATCGAGCTCGCTCGATAATATAGGCGCGCGCACTATTTTTAAACGCCAAAGAAAAGCATTTTTAGTAAAATAATAAATTTTAATATTATTGTATTGCATTTTATATTATTATATATACGATAAACAAACTCGTAAAAAAATTAAGTAGGTAAATACGCATAATATAGTGCGTGTGATGTTATTGTGTGTGTGCGCACGGTATAATATACGCGCATAATACGTTGAACGACGATTTAACTTCACCGTAATTTACGACTTTGGCGTGTATTTATCTTTTTGCTGGTCTCGTTTTTATTATTATAATCTTTATTTTGATCGTAAATGCAAATTATTTTTACGCGGTTATTAAAACCTTCGGGGGCCTTGCCGCAGTCCTATATTTAGAAGGGGTTAACTCAAATATTATACGTGCGTTATGACGATATTATCATATATTCTCGCTCTGTATCAAGCGTATATCGGACACGCCGATTTAAATAACGAGAGTCGAAACCAGAAATACAAGTAAAACGAGGGAGGTGTTCATAATGAATTTTTGAGGGACTTAACCGAGTTTTCAGAGAACTGTGTCGGCGGGAACGCGTAATGGGTCCTGGAACTAAGGGTTACGAATCTCGGAGACGTATGTTTATGCAACGCATCAAAGTTCAGCTGCAGTTATACTGCAATAAAGCGTAGGTACATGGTTAACATACACGTACACAGAAACAAATTCGGTGGGGGAAGGTCATAAGTCATAATACGTTTTTAATTACAAATAAAAATTCATAAATAGAAGATATTTTTGATTACAATTTTGGGGGTTTAAAGCGGGATTTACATACGTTGTTAATTGTACTATAGAACTATTCGGTATTTCCGTCGAAGTTTAGCTTTCGCGAAATAAAAATCCGTATCGTTATAAGCATGCAGCAGACTACCCTATGCGATCTGAGTAGATAAAATCAATAGTTATTAAATCATGCAAACGAATTTCTCGAAACAAATCAAAATTCACGTCAAACACACGAATTCTAGTTTTGCAAAAAAACCTTGTTTTGAGGAAGTTGTGTTTTATTGGAAAATAAAAATGAAATAAAAGCTCAAATGTGGCCTATCTCTGTAACCCTCTGAAAACCACCCGTAATGGGCTCTATCGTTACCTACCACAAACGCGATAATTGTATGAAATACGAATATAATATTATAATATGTATATGATGTATTTACAAAGATGATATTTGAATAGTAACATAATGTGCGCGAATTCATCGTCGATCGGCGAATAAACGAAAACTACCAGCATGGTTGTCTACACCAGAGTTTCTCAACGCGAGTGTTTACTGTACGACCCCCCCCCCCCCAAATTAACATTAAATTTCTCTCTAAATATTATATATTTTATACACACGTATTATAGAATACCATTAAAAATAAATACTTGTACCTAATACGATACTTTTAAAACATAAATCCCAGATATTGCAGTTTTAAATGTTAGGTATGAAAACCGTTAATTTTGTGTAATAATTAAAATTTGACTAAATTTACAGTATTCTAACAATGATATGATATATTTATTTATCATTGAAATTCCTAATGTTTTGTATTGATTTAAAATTTAGAAGATTATTTTAGGTGACCCTAAATTATTATGTGGCGACCCTCAGTTTTAGAAACACTGGTCTATACAACTAGGTATGAGATGATATTTTACACCCTCGAGCGTACATTGCGAGCTTTCATAGATGGAAACTCCGGACGACCATCATATACCTATGAGCATTACACAAACACAAGCACCGATCGAGCGCGTTAGGAGGTACGTACGCTGTGAGGACGGAACTGCAGACGACGCTGAGGGAACTCGAGCGGAACGAATAATTATTTGTTCGGAATATTTTACTATACTAATATTATTGCTAACAAAGTATACTGATGACGCGACGGCTGACGGACACCGGTTGGACACCGTACATACGTAGATGACGCTGGAAACGACTGGTGGCGGTGACGCGACGCTGTCCGCCGCGATGCCCGGGACGTGACGCGCGATCGCCGCCGCCGCTGTCACTCCCACCACGGGAGGAAACGGCAGCCACCTGAGCTTCAAGGTGGGCACCCACGGAGACGCTCGCTTGTCTCCGCCGCAACGCTCGTTTGGTGCGCACAGCAAGCGCAACTTCTCTCACACCATCTCTCTCTTTCTCTCTCTCTCCAACTATATCTATCTACCTAGTACCTATACATCCCTCTCTGTCCATCTATCTATTGTAACATTTGTTACATACTATACATAAATTATATACTAAATACACACTATGGAATTTACCTACACACGCTCGACACGTCTTAAATCTACTCCGTCCAAAGAATTATCTATTATTATTAAAATGAAACACGGCATTCACCACCAACACGAGCGAACTCGAATATACTGTCTTATTAACAGCCATGTTCAAATGTACAGTAAAGTAGGTAAGTATGTACTATACCAATTTAAAAATAAAAATGTATAACTGTGTAGTGTGTACCTACCTAAACTGATCTATAGTGCAATGTAGAGTGCTACTTAATATTGTCTTCCATTGCATTGAAATACAACGAATCGTAGATGTTTTAGATTCTGAGTGAAACGATGAATGTATTGATTTTACAATGATGTGTGTTTTTTTATTTTTGTGTCTGTGTACACGATAAGTAGTCGAAATAATGCTTCGATTTTCGACTTCAGTATCTTGTTCGATTGGAAAGTGAATATTGTTGGTGCATTGGGGAGGTCAAAATTTAAAATTCCCAATAGTTTTCACAAGCGCCAGGAAAAACAACATAAAAATTAAGGAAAAACGGGAATTTTTACGCAAAATCTGTTTTTGACAAAATCGAATTTGGTTTTTGGTGTAACTTTTAAACAAATGACCGTAGATACATGAAATTTTCACTGGTTGTTTATATTTGCATTTTCTATACACGATAACATTTTCAAAATATTTTGATTTATTTTGAACTGTTTAGGGACATTTTCATTTTTCATTTTTTTTTAGTTTTTTTTCTAGAAATATCAATAAAATTTTATTTGTTGGTTGCGAAAACTTGAAAATTTAATACAAGGCTCCTAGTATATTGTTTCAGAGGCAGATGAAAAATATTAAAAATCGTTAGTCACAGTTTTTTTTTCTAAGCATTTAAAGTTAAAAAATTGACAAAATATGGAAAAATCACGAAAATTAGCAAATTATTTTGAGTTAAGAATTCGTAAACATTTTTCTTTTTAAATCTAAGATTTGAAAATCCAATACAAGATTACTCATAAGATTTCCTACATTTATCAATAAAAAAATCTCTACCGGAAAGTCAAATTAAATTTTTATGAGCGTTTGAAATTCAAATTTTTACAACATTGAATATTCACTCGATTTCTCATGTACCGATTTTCTTATTTTGTTGTTATTCAAAAACGAATAACTATAGATACATGAAAATTTCACTGAATGTTCAGATTAGCATTTCCTATACACCGTACAATTTTGAAAATATTTTGACTCTTTTTGAGCTGTTAATGGACATTTTCAGTTTTAAATTTTTTTAGTTTTTTTTTTCTATAAATATCAATAAAGTTTTATCTGTTGGGCCTAAAAAGTGTAAAAATTTAATACAAGGCTCCTGATATATTGTTATAATATCAGTTGAAAAATATTATAAATACATAGGCACAATTTATTTTTTATAAGCATTTAAACATCGAATTTTGACAGAATTTTTCAAAATCTCGAAAATTATTAATCATCGTAATTAATAAATTATAAAATGTTCAGTTTTTACAGCTAAGGATTGAAAATTTAAAACAAGATTCCACGTAAGTAGTTAATTCTCTTCCCAAAAAATCTAAAAAATATACAATCACAGTTTATTTTTATAGTCATTTTATGTTCAAATTTGGACGAAATTACATATTAAAAAACCTAGTTATTTTGTTGTGATTATATAATATTATTCGTGGGTACCTACTTGAAACTTCTAAAGTGTACTATTATATATCTATGATAGTATCAGGGTTTGTTATTGACGTTGATGTATAACGTGTTATAAGTACCTAATGGATATTGTGATAATGTGATATGATTAATTTGGAATTTATTATAGGTCAATTTTTTTTTTAATACCATAGATATGTATAAAATTTTTCTTAAACCTAGACTGACATACCGTCTTCGCTCAGAATCGTTTTTCTTATACAATGATATTGTATCATTGTATTCAAATTTAATAGCATCCATTATACAGTGACCAACTTGTAACCTACTGTACAGCAGAGCGACATCCACTTACCCACCTTTTTATTGATATGTCATAATTAGGTACAAATGTGGAACATTTTAACTTATAAAGATGAGTTCTAACGTAACTACCTACCTAGAATAACACCAAAAATATTGGAATAATTAAAATGTAATCAGAAGTGTGTCCAGAGTGAGGTTAGGGGTAATATACTAATATCCACCATTGTCCCATATAGTCCCTGATTTGT